TTAACTAATTTTAACAAATACCAGCAATTATAACTAATTATTAAGGTACTTGTTAAAGATAAGTAATAAATAGTTTGTTTTGTCATGGCAACTATGATTTTATAGGATAATTGCGAGGGTAATTCTATTAAAAATATGGGTAAAAATAGAAAAAATTGGAATAAATCGCGAACTATTAAAAATAGGTATACTTAACAAAAGTTGAAGAGTTTTGTAAAATCTATCAGAAAAAATAATAATATATAGGGTGTCCCATTGAAAAAATTTGAGAATTTTTAATTTTAAGTAGTTGAAATTCATAAATATATTTTGAACACCCTGTATCATTTAACTAAAATATCTTTACATATATCTTTTTTTTTTCATCTCTATAAAACTCTCTTACCAAATTTTGGTCCTCCAACTTCAGAAACAATGGCACCACTGACAATTTTTTACCACACTGCAATTTAACATTTGTTTAAAAAAATTGAAATATTACAAAAAGTATTAATTTTAGGTATATAACATTATATATAAAAAAGTTATGAAATTTTACGCAGAATCTAAAAATAAAATAAAAAATAGGGTGTTGCATTTAAAAAAGCATATGTTATATTCGCCACACTTTTTTGAAGCACCTTGTATACTCTAGAATAATTTTAAAATGTGTATCGTAACCTTCCCTATAACTTTCATATGTAAATTTTGTTTGTAAACCTCGAAACAAATGAGATAATGGACTTTACTCTATCGTTGACTCACCCTGTATATGTTTGAGACCGAAAAAAATCAATGGATATTATCTTTACATTTATTTTAACTGTCAAAGTTAAAGCTCATTTGGTTATAAATTTTTTGATCATTATCGTAAAAGCAGATTTGATTTAAAATGTCAAAATTATTTTTTATTTCAAAATTTCAGAGTATCAATTTCTTTTATCTATTCTTATCTATCTCGATTTGTTAGCACGCTAATAATGTTAATTACAACTATTTATTTTTTATATTTGAAGACCTAATATAATATACAAATATAAATCTGGGTTATATAACAAAATTAAACTCGGGCTTAAAGATTGACACCGTATTTAACGTGTTGATAAATAAACAATCTAGAACGGGCCTTAAATATAATAGTAAACAAAAGTGGATCCTTTAGTGTATTCCTAGTGTGTATCTCTATCAAATAGTTTATTTTTTATATTATAGAGATTTTTTTTATTGTTTGACGTTGAATTCAGATATAAAGATGTATGGAACAAACAAATTAACAATAGTTGAAAAATTATTTAAACAAATTTATTATTGCTGTTAATTTTTAAAAATATTTACCCTGGAAATACCGGGCCAACTCTTTTTAAATGGCTGCCTTAGTAAACTATTTTAATAATAGAATCTATTTTTATAAAAATTTAGAGGATTTATCGTGTATTTTGTACCTCCCAAAAATATTTAATGAAAATAGTTTGTTAGTCCATATATTAATGTTTTTAATAAAAATTAAAGGTAGCCACACAAATACAATTTTTATCAAGGTTTGGACTGCGCAGACAACAGTTCAACGTGTATGGTGAAAAAGTGACATATAATGCTATTTTAATATAAATGTTACTTTCAATTTATTTCTGTAATCTGTACATTTTCTGTTTCCTCAATAGCCAGCAAATTTTGTGGAATAACACCCAAAATACACACTTTTATGCAAATGTCTAAAAATGTTAACGCTTAAATTTATTTAAGAAGAGAAAACATTTTGAACCTAACCAACAATTCGTATTTATAGTGGTTTACAGTAATTTTGTTAAGTTATAGAAATATTCTCATTGATTATTGGTTTGAAATTAATATGACTATGTCTTCCAATGAAAATGCGAGTTGCTTAACGCTGATAATTCTAATTCTGAGTTAGCACATGAGTTAAATGCTTTACCTAGACTGTTGTTCAGAAGCTACAAACCTATCCGTGAAAATATGTATAAAAACTTACTTCCTAACAGACAACCAGAAGATATTGGTACCCAGGTACAGGATGAAGTTTATTATAATGATTTTCTTAACTTTAAATCAAATATTTTTTGGTGTTAGCGCGATCCTTACCACTTTTTTTTCTCGCTAGCTCATGCGTCAAGGCAGGTCAAGGTCATGTCGTGTCAATGCCGTGGTGCGTCACAGCCTTGAATTTTTACTCCCATCGCGCGTAAAAAAGTTTCATTTCAAAAATAGCCTGAGAAGTTCCTGAAGGTAATAAAATAAAATAAATCAAAGACTCGTATAAACGTGAAAAAATGACGTCAACCAATTACTAACAAAGCGTCGTAGATAGACGCCATTGCTATATCCGGAGTTGTCCAGGCTATGTCCAGTATCTGGCCTATGTCCAGGTTAAATATTCCCTCATCCTATCAAGGACCTGCACAAGATGTAAAGGGCATATGTTTAAGAGAGCGAGTGCAGGATATAGAGTGGGAACAAACACAACAGGCCTTACAGGTCGCAGTGTTTCTGGCATCGGACGATCCCTTACCCTGAGGAAAAACTGACTGTGTATGTCTACCTTAACGTTGACTATTAAAAATGTCGTCGGCATCAATTTATACGCTGCCAGCCTCCGTCCGCATCTATCTCTTCCAGCCTATCAATCGGATCGATCTTCGCCGGGCATTCGAAAATAATAGGTGAGCATTCTGGTTGACAAACTAACAGATAGGGATCGAGCCCGTGGAAGGTTTATTGTCCTCGGCGGAGTTATCGAATTAACAAGGTTGCCCGTTTAGGGAAGTTAAGCGATATCCATTTATATTTAAGCCCTACGGAACAACAAATGTAGCGGCTCGTTTGAACTGTTATGGTCGTATTAATTTAGCGTTTGGCGCATACAAGATGTATGTGCACTGCCAGAATTTCTTTAAAAATTTCAAAATACTGACACTTCCTTCTTTATTCGTTTTTGAAACCGTTTGCTTAATCCGCAAGCACATATATCTGCTATTCCCGAACGACCATCTCACAACTATCCACTTAGAAATGCGGAGCACGATCTTTATCTGCCAATCCCGAGCTCAGAGCTAGTTAAAGCCTCAATACTGTACAATGCTAAAAAAATGAACAATCATCTGCCTTTGAATATCAAGTCGTTTTCATTCTTTTCCGCATTTCGCAAAGCTCTGAAATCATACTAACTGGAGAGAGCCCTATATGCGGTAAACGACTTTTTTGTTGATGTTTAATCATGAAAATTTTGAATTTTAAACTTTTGATCATCTCACACACTAGTCAAAAGTCGAATATTTAATATTTTATAACTCTTAAAATTATATCCATTTACAATTTTCCTATTGTAAAATTTTATTGATACGCCTTTTTTTGTGTTCTGCAATTGTCCATGTATATTCTATGTATTTGTAATTTTAATGACTTAAATTTGTTTGAATTGTATGATTTGTATTGTATATTTTTATTATTTGTATATTTTTTGTGTTTTTGTTTGTTTTGTAAATGCTTTGTCGATATTTTGCCTTTTTGCACAATAAAGCGTTATTTATTATTATCGTTTGCGCACGTATTTTTTGTACGGTATAATATGTAAGAAACGGCGGTGATGCAAGTTTCTAACACTCTATTGGTTTGTTAAAGATTGAGGTGTCGTCTTACTATTGCTGCTGTTTGAAGAACGACAGCCTTCTGGAGTTGTATATAGAGTAACGGTGGAAGATCTAACTTTTTTAAACTATGGTGGAGAGCCTTTGGTATTACGCCCGTTGATGAAATTATAATGGGTACGATATTCACTTCGTTTTGCTTCAATAAACTTTTTACTTGTTCAGCTAGTGCGGTATATTTATTTAACTTCTCACTCCATGTAGACTGCAGATTATGGGTGTTAGGAATCCCGACATCTATAAGGTAAGTTAATGCCCTCTCTTTTATGGTGAATGTTAGGTCTGGTCGGTTATGCGGAGTTGTTTTGTCAGTAAGTATACTTCTGTTCCAGTAGAGTTTAAAGTGGGCATTTTCTAACACATTTTCAGGTTCATATCTGTAATAAGGTGTAATATCTTCTTTTAAATGACAAAGGGTTGCTAACTTTTGATGAATGATTTTCGCTACTTGGTCGTGTCTTTGGAGGTAGGAGTTTGGAGCTAGCATTCGACATCCAGCTGTCACGTGCTGGATAGTTTCACCAGGTTCATGGCATCTTCGGCATTGATCTACTACATTCGGCTCTTTTAGGATGAATTTTCTGTAATTCCTCGTAGCTATGACCTGGTCCTGGATTGATAACATAAAACCTTCGGTTTCGAGGAATAAATCCGTTTGAGATAACCATTTGTTCGACGCATCTTGATCTACATAATTTTGGTTAAGCTCGTGCGGAAATCTCCCATGCAGTACCTTTCGAGTACACTCCTCGACTTTCTCTCGTTCGTAGATTACATCCGATGGGAGCCTGATGTCAACGGCATGTTGAAGATCTAAAGGGGTGTGTTTGTTATCTGCTCTCACTATTGCTCGGTGACTGATAACATGATGTTGAGTCTTGTCATACTTCATATGGAATCCGTTTCTAGAACTGTATTCCACGTAGACATTAAATGTTGAAGCATATTTATAATTTTATGGTCAAATATGATCAATCTTATATATCTGTAGTACTTTCAGAAGCCAGGAGCGCGGTACCGAATTAAAGGCTTTTTTATAATCTATAAATGCCGTGTAGATGTTTCGTCGTTTGTTAGCTGCTTGCTCGAGTATTACTGAGTCTATTATGAGCTGTTCCTTGCATCCTTGAGATTTTTTGACACAACCCTTCTGCTCTTCAGTTTGTAGATACTTTTTGCAACACATGCCGTTAAAATCTTTTATAGTGTGCATAAACAGGTAATGGGTCGGTACTTAGTTGGATCATTTAATCGCTCTGATTATTATTATTATTATTTAACATATTCCACGGAGATGGCGGTTGAAGTTCTCCGGTAATTATTGCCTAAGTCCAGTTCCCGGCCTGGGATCAAAGCAACTTAGTTCAACACTTTGCGAAGGATGTGAGCCGTGCTGAGCAACGTAATCTTTTGGGCTTCTTGGATAGATGATTTTCCTGGGATGCGGTTCAGATGTAGTTCTGCTCCTTTGAATATGGTTCCCAAGGCGCCCACAATAACCGGTATAGTACAAGACTTTGCATTCCACATTCTGCTGATTTCTATTTCTAGGTCCTTATATTTCATTATCTTCTCGTTTTCTTTTAATTGTACGTTGGAATCGTCTGGTACTGATATATCTATAAGTTGGCAAGTTTTATTCTTTTTGTCATGTACCACGATGTCTGGTCTATTCGCATTTATTTGTCGATCTGTTATGATGGGCAAATCCCACATTACTGTTACTTCATTGTCTTTGTTTTTGATATTTGTAATTGTTTCAGGAATATGCTCGTAGTATTTCGCACAAACTTCCATTCCGAATGCTTTGCAGATGTTCCAATGTATATAGCCAGCTACTTTATTATGCCTATGAGTGTACTCAGTGGCGGCCAAGTTTGTACAGCCAGCGATGATATGACTAACGTGTTCCTCCGACCCATGACATAATCCACATCTACTATCCACATTTTGTTTGAAGATCTTTTTTTGTCTATATCTTGTACTTAGGGCTTGATTTTGTGCAGCCATTATTAGGCTTTCTGTCTCTCCTTTCAATCCTGCACCATTGAACCATTGAATGCTACTCTTTTTATTGACGAAGTTCTTATCTAAATGTCTCATAAATTGTTGGTATAGCTGTTTTTCTTTTAATCTTTCAATTCTTCGCTTTTCTATTTCTTCTCTTATTTTCAATTTCATGTTCCTGGATGTTTCTGCATTTGTGTCATATTTCATTCTGATTCGTGCTGCTTCCTTCGTAATTGAGTATTTTGCTCTTGCTTCTTGATAATCTTTACTAATTCATCTTTTTCCTCTTTTATGTACTCACTCAGTTCCATGATTGCAGTTTCAAATGCTTCTTTAAGCTCTAGCAAACCTCTTCCTCCATCTAGTCTTCTCATATAGATCCTATCAACATTGTCTTTTGAGTGGTGAATTTTCCTTGAGGTAAGTAGTTTTCTAGTCTTTCTATCAATTTTCTTTATCTCTTCTTTTGGCCATTCCACTAAACCAAAACTGTAAGTCATTACTGGAATTGCTATTGTGTTTATAGCTTTTATTTTGTTTTTTGCACATAATTCTGTGTCAAGCACTTTTCTGATTCTCCTATAATATTCTTTCCTTAATTTATTCTTCATACTCTTGTCGACTCCGTCTCCTTCTTCTAAGCCTAAGCATTTGTAAGTTTCCTCTGGATCCAAATTTCTTATTTCAAGTTCTATGTTCGATTTTACTTTTATGTTCTTACTTTTTGTCAACTTCCCCTTCATGAATGTAGCTGTGGCGCACTTGTCTAAACCAAACTCCATATTTATGTCTTGGCTGAATGTTTTGACAATTATTATTATTATTATTTGCGTTAAAAGGTGCAAATTAAAAAAAAAAAATTCGTGCATACTATTTATTAATTAATTTTGAATTCTACTATAAAAATAAAAATAAAATTATAAAAACAGGTTTTTTTAAAAATATCGAAAACCGTTTGAGTTAAAGAGCTAAAAATTTAGGTGAATTATTTTGATTCGAGACCAAATCGATCCCTTGAGTGCGAGTCAAAAAAGCCGCGGGGGTAGATTTCCTATATTAATCCGGCAATATCCTTTCAAGAAGTCGTTTTAAAATTTGAGTTAGATATTTGATATCATTATTCATTTTTGACATATTATGTAAATTGTTACAGCTTTTTTGTTTTCACACTGAAATAATTTCTATGATATATTTAACAGCATATTTTTTCAACACATAATAAATGATAATAGTGGCTACATACATGATTCAGGTCAACTAAAGGCAATTTTCTAATCGTTTCGATCTTTTTCCGAACTGTATTAGGTAGAAATAAAAAGTCGAATCGTATTGTTACACTAATGGGTCAAGGATTAAATTATTATCGCTATTATAGCCTGGCTGTCGTGGGCCAGCTTTCACATATAACGATGATATCTCAATTTGCTGTGATAAATCTTCTATTTAATGACGCTCTGAAAGATTAATTCGACTCTTAAGTCACGATTGACTTATTGAAATACCTTCTAAAAACAAAACACTTCACTCGGAGGATCTTGATCGTGTTTTGTGTTCTTTTTTTGGTTTCATTTTCGACTTGGAAAAGTACAAAGGTGGATTAAATATCAATTGGAAATGTGATCGGATTTTTCGTAAATTTATGGACTCGATCAGCAGATAACAATTACCCTATGATTGTATTATCAAAATTAATTATAAGCGATACCAAATAAACTTCCAGTTACGTCATCGAAGGCGCAAATATTAAATTCATTGTTGCCAACCATGGACATAACTGGAATTTAAATCTCCCGCTGGCGATTCAGGTGGTAGCTCTGCTGTAAAAAATGTCAAGTTGCCACATTTATTTCCTGACATTGTCATTCGTTTTGACACTTTAATTTTGTATTACGAGTTTTTGGTTTAAATCAATAGTGTTGTGATACTTTAAGCTTAAAAAAATTTATTAGCAGACCTTGCAGTCGAAAATTGTTTTTTTAGAGCCGCTTTTAGTGCGAGGTGTACAGGGTGGACCATTTAGGTTGTTTCTATAGGGTATCTAGGAAACCGTAAGAAATATTCAAATTTGGATTCTGCAGTCTTGGGTTGTTTTTTTGAAAAAATCGCAATGCCGCAAACGGATCGTGGCTATCTTGATCGGTTTCAAAGCTACAGGGGGATTCTCAAATTTTGTACTTTTTGAAGATGTTCGATAGTTTGTTTATTTCAGCAACTACGCAAAAATGAATTATACATTCTAAAGGCACTTTTCTATGTAGAATGTGGTGGCGTAGTCAGACTCTTTTCGAAAAAAATATTTTTTTAGATTTTAACTATACTTCTGTTTTTTTTTAAATAGTACTCCCTGTATATTTTTAAATTTCCTGAATCAGCCTGGCATGGGCTTCTCGAAAATATATAACACTTTATATTTATTTTCACTATTAACCTCAACATTACAAATTTTTCTTAAAATATCCAGTTAGTATAGTAGGCCGTGCCGAGTAACAAAGTAAACGGTTGTCATGTTGATCGGCACATACCTTTGATAGATGCGTGACATTTCATTTCAACAGATTGAAGTGTGTGTATTTTAAATAATAAAAAAATGAGTAAATTTGAAAATTTTCAGAAATATAATATGTTAGAATGTTATATTGAGTCTAACAAACATAAGCAAATGGCAGCTGATTTATATTTTGAGCGGTATTTTGAGCGCAAGCAACCAAACCCAGCCATTTTTAAAAGGACAGGAAATAGTTTAATCCTAGCCACCTAGGTCACCTGATATCACTCTCTTCGACTTCTTTCTCTGGGGCTTTCTAAAAAATGAAATTTATCGAAATGCAAAATTATTAAAAGAGTTACAAGATAGTTTTGTTGTGGCTTTGCAAAGTGTAACCAACATACACATTCGAAATGCTGTTAGAAGCGGCGTGCAGAGACGGTGCCAACTCAGTCTAGGTAATAATGGGCAGCAGTTTGAACATTTAATGTAGTATTTGTGTTTTTTTAATTTTTATATTAACTGAGAAGCCCGATTGAAGTAACCTGTTGAGTTTGTATTAAAATATGTTCTTTTGTTTCTGTCACAGATATTTTTTATTTGCTTCGTATTTTTCGAATTTATTTAATTGCTAATACATTGATTAATTTGAAAGTAGATATTCGCTTGTTTCCTTTAACACTCGGCATGACCTACCAAGAGGAAAGTCGATATTAAATTAAATAAATTGGAATTTTAAAGTTAATAATGGAAATAAATATATAGTGTTATATATTTTCGAGAAGCCCATGCCAAACTGAATCAGTAAATTTAAAAATATACAGGGGGTTGTATTTAAAAAAACATACGTATAGTTAATATCTAAAAAAAAAATTTTCAAAAAAAGTCTGACTACGCCACTGCATTCTACACAGCAAAGTGCCTTTAGAATGTTTAATTCATTTTTGCTTAGTTGTTGAAATAAACAAACTATCGAACATCTTCAAAAAGTACAAAATTTGAGAATCCCCCTGTAGCTTCGAAACCGATCAAGATAGCCACGATCCGTTTGCGGCAATGTGATTTTTTCAAAAAAAGAACCCGAGACTGCAGTATCAAAATTTGAATATTTCACACGGTTTCCTAGATACCCTATAGAAACAACCAAAATGGTCCACCCTGGTAGGTCAAGCTAGACTAATACCGAAGCAAAAAATCTCATCGCAACCTTATTAAAATATTTTGAACGGGAAAGTAGTAGTAATAGCCCTTTATGTCCCTTAAGTGCTGTTAAGGAGGTGAGTTTTGTTGATGGTATATAATAACTGTTTATATATTAATAATTAATTCGTTTTTGTTTCCCAAAATATTTTATTAAAATAAAATATGTAAAAGTCGGCAACGCTGTGCCGGTCAAGCTTACACGTGAGCTTAGCACGTGACCAAAATTTTATTTGGTTTGCTGTATAGGCGACTTCCATTAATTATATGGAGGGAATCAGGGGAGCGGGGTCAATCCGAGACAGATATCACGATATCTCATCAGTAGGAGAGTGGAAAAAAGATCATCAAAAAAGCCTCATGCGTCATTGATAGAACTAAATTCACTTCCTCGTGAATCATATACCATATTTATGTTCATAGTGAAGTTTGGTAGGTACACTAATTTTTTGCGACCCTGTATAATAATTTCTCCTCCCCTACTAAACTAAATTTTACACAGGACATAAAGAAAAGAGAATCAATCAGTTAACTTAACTGTTACCGAGCTATTGTTAAGAAACACAGTTCTAACGGACTACTTATTGCCTGTAAAATAATCATGAAAGCTTGATTATCTTGATTTTATGGCATCTGACTGTAATAAAAAACGGAATTAATGAAATTTACGTTAATACTGTGCTTTCACCTTTGACACACTCATAAAAAATGGTAATGGATTGAAATAATTTAAAAGAACTAAAACTAGGTCACAAGCTAGACTAATTAAACCAATGACTAAAAAATATAAGGACCTGTAACGCCCCTATACGGGCTGCAGCAGAATTTGTGACCTTTTTTTTGTTTTGGTGGCAAATAATGAGTCATCATTTGGTCACCAGCGACAATTTTAGCGATTTTTAATAGTTTGTGTGTAGTAAACTTTGTATAGACTTTATTACAATGGTGATTAGTTGTTCAGCTTTCAAGTGTAAAAGCAGCAGCGATAAGAAAGAGCCAGGAGTTACGTTTCATAGGTAAATAAACAGTCCACTCCAACTTTTTAGCGTTTTCTTATTGAATTCGATAATTATTCTTCAATTTCAATTAACATCTACATGTACTTGATATGTGCTATACGTCGATACTAGTTTTGTACCTTTTGTTAACATTTTAATACGTTTTTTTCGTAATTAATTAGGAGGATACACCATAGGCGTAGTCAAAACAATTATCAAAAAATATAAATATTGCTTCAAACAGCTAGGTTATATGTGCCACCAGGGCCGGTTTTAAGGGCCATTGGGCCCCAAGCGGATTTTTTTTCGGGCCCCCTATCCTACGTTTGTTATATATAATGATTATGGTTAGGTATGTAGTGTGTTGTGTGTTTTATGATTTACTAAATTATCTACGTAAAAAAAAAGTTTCAACGAACATAATGTATTTTATTAAACATTTTACAAAAAACATTTAAATAATATTAAACAACATTTAACCCAAAAATAAAACATTTATAATTTTTGAACAGAACATAAACGAA